TCCATCCCCATCTGTTCTGCTTTCAATTTGGGACCTGATTGGGACTGAAAAGGCAGCAGCTTCCACTCTGGGTGGCATGGAGCTGCTTGGGGTAGGGATCTTTCAGCTCACACCTTCCAGGGGAAGCAAATGCAGGTGAGCAGAAGCGCTTAGATTCCCAAACTTTGGGGGCCATGCTGAGCTCAAGAGACTGCAGGCTCACATGATCACCTCCTACAGGGGGACTCCTGCACTATTCAGCTCTGTGCCTTGACTGGGACACTGAACCAGCACTGCCATCCTTTGCCAAGGCACAGTCTTCAGGCAGGATGTGGTCCCTGGGTCTCCAGTGTCTCTAGCTCCCCTCCCAGCCCCCTAGAGGGAAGACCCCAGAGCTCAGAGACCTGGTGCATCCTGCTCCCAGTCCAGTGGGGTCATTTCTCCTTACAACCTCTCAGGTCTTGGGTCTCCCGGATGGTGCCCCGGTGGAGGAAATTCACAAGAAGTACCGGGAGCTGGTGAAGCTTTGGCACCCGGATCACAACCGCCACCAGGTGGAGGAGGCCGAGAGACGGTTCATCGAGGTGCAGGCAGCCTATGAGAGCCTCATGCAGCCGAGGAAAGCCAAACCCACGTGATGGGCAGCAGCCTTTGTGCGGGAGACCACCTGCTGCCACACCCTCCCACTGTTTTTGCAATAGAGTCTTTCGAGAATTTTCCTGATTTCCCCTGCCTTGCTGCATGTTTCCCAGAAGGGCATGAGAACCAGGAAATGAAATTGACCAGGCCAGGTTTGCTCTCACAAGCAGAGTGAAATGCAAACCAGTGAGCCAGGTGCAAAGGAAAACGGCCTGGCTGAGTAGCAGTAACCTTGGAGTGGGGGGCAATATTTTTCAGATGTGATGTATTTCTGTGGTGTGATGGCTTCCCTTTCCATCCGGATGGTGCGGCAGGAACAGACAGGCCCCAAGCCTGGCACGTTGCACGGGGCAGCAAGAGAGAGGCTTTCATGGTGCACTCTCCCACCTCCTGCTTTCTAAGGAGGAGAAAGAGGTATGCTGCATATGGTAGTGGCTGCAGCACTGGTCTGGGGACAGGAACATGGGTTCTAGTCCTTGCTCTGCTGGTGATCTTCCTGGCAAGTCACTTGGTCCCTGTTTCTACCCCCCCACCCTGTGCCAGTCTTGGCTGTTTAGATGGAATGCTCTTCACGGCAGAGTTGCAGTGGTTTGTAACTGACCTGATCCCATGTGCACAAGCTTGATTTGCCACCCACTCTGGGCCCTTCTGAACTGTTCCAAGGGCCAGGGTCTGTGTGTAGCCAGCTTGCCCCACATGTGGCTGGGGCCTAACACCACCAATGTCCTGTATCACTGATGACTGCCCTTGCACCAGACTTGGTGGTAGCCTGCAGGTTCTGCATTTTGCTGATGAGGCTGCTGCAGCCACTGAGAAGAGCAGGGATTGTCCTTTACCCTGTTTGTACAGCACTGAGCTCAGCTCTGGGGCCTACAGGCTGCCTGTCCTACCAATAAACTGTCAGTGTTGCACTTTGGGCTGAATGTGAGAACTGTACCTTGATATTTGACATCATTGCAATGCCAGGGGTGCCCAGTAGGTGTCAGCCTCAGGCTGCAGCTGAAAGACAGGAGCCAGAAATAAAACCCGAAGCTGGGCTAACTGGGCTCCAAGAAATAAGAGGGCAGCAGATCTGGAACAGAAGGGAGGAGAGAGGGGCTTAGGGTGGCCTTTGTTGAAATGCTTCTAGGACAGGCTGAGCCAGACACTGGGAAGTGCTGGTGGGGGGACGAAGCCTTTGGTTGCTGGATCACCGGTTCCAATTCAGCCCAAGATAGGAAGGGCCTGCTGTTGTCCCGCTCTGATAGCTGCCAGGAGAACAAGGTGGGGCCCTGTGGGGGGGGGGAATCTGGGCAGAATGTGGCACTGGGGAGGCTATTTGGGATGTGGGATCTTCGTGTTGGCAGAACAGAGACTTGAGAGCCAAAGCTCGCTGGAAAGAACCTGGATGGGAACCAGGATTTCTGCGTGGGATGCAGAGAGGAGTGGCCAGCAACCCCCGAGCCAAGGGCCCCGCATGGGAATAGGCACCGTGCATGGGACAGCGACCCTGAATGTGACCAGGGATCCTAGTGCGAGGGGCTCTTGAGTGGGTGGGATCCTGGAGGTGGGGAATCAGGGACCCCCAGAGGCCCCCAGGCCAGTGACCCCAGGGCCAAGGACACCCCCCGCACAAGTGACTCCCAGAACCCCTCCAAACCAGGGAACCCAGAGGCCCCCCAGCCCAGTGACCCCAGACGTCCCCTGGAGCTGCCCCGCTCCGGCTCCTCCACGCCCATGCTCCAGCCTTGGCACACCCGGTGCTGAGGCCAGCTCCCAGCTTCGGCCCTTTCCGGAAGGAGCTCGGCTCTTTCCGCCAGACCGGCGATGGCGGCTTCGATGATTTCCGACTTGGCTCGGCTATCCGTTCTTCGGACTCGGCGATTGCCGGCGCGAGAAGGGGGCGGAGCCAGCCTCCCCTGGACACTGTGGGATTGGCCCTCAACCGCTCCTAGCCCTGCTCCTTTTCCGGAGCGTCCTCGCTACCCGCATTGGCTCGCGCGCTCTACTCGCCCATTGGCTGCGGCGCGCAGGCGGCTCCTCGAAGGAGACTCTTCTTGTCCTATTGGCCGGTGCGACTTGGTTCGACCTCTCGCCGCTCCTTATTGGCTGGCGGGGCGCGCCATCCCGTGCAGTCATTGGCTGGCTTCACTGTCCGCGCTCGGGGTTTCCGTCTCTAGCGCTCGCCATTGGCTGGCGGGAGGAGGCGGCTCCTGAGCTCTTTCCCGTTCGTTGGTTGGTTGGGCGGGCTCCATGGCTCTTGCCGGGGTCGGTGCGGGCCCCCGCCCCCCTTTTCCCCGGTGCCTGGCAGCGGCGGCCTGAGGAGACGGTGAGGGCGGCTGCATGCAAGTTCATGGTTCAGAAAATTTGGATAGATCCTTTGCACTTGGGTTGACATTTATTCCTGATGAAGAAATTATTGAATTTTAAATTTGAGTTTTGTACAGGAATCAAACATAGAAATAAAATGTATGAAAAATGTCTGCTCTAGGTCTTGGTTTAGTAGATACAATTGTTTAGCAATTATATTTAGTTTTGCAGTGAACTTAGTAATATTTTTGCCATATTATTTTCTACATCTTCTCATAATTTGGGCTGTGATTTAAAACCTAATATGCCAGCATTCTAAATTGTTGATTATAAGGCACTATCACAGATCAACAAAAATATTTGTTTTCAAAAAAGTTGTGCTAAACTGATCATATTAAATATTTTTTGTTACACCACCACAATGACTGCTTTCCTTTTATTTAGAAACTTGTGTCTATTACTAGAGCACAAGTGGTTGTGGTGGTGTTTTGGCAGGTAATCTAAATTGGAGTTGTTATTGATAGTAAATTACTCCAAATAGAAAAAGAAGTCCAGGATTTCCCTTACTTTAAAATTAAGCACTCAAACAATAAATATATGTATATGCTCTTTTTCTGGGTTGCGGTTGATACTGAGGGGGAAATCTCGCTCCCCTGGGGTACAGAGCCCCCAGAAGGGTCCGAGGCCGGAGGGAAGAGCAGTGTGGCAGGTACAGGAGTCGGTGAGGGCTAACGGGGGTGCGGTGGGGTGGGGTACAATCAGGGGCAAAGCCGGGGCTAGGCATAGGGGTTGGTGAGAGCAGTGGAATTGTGATGGGGCCGAGGGCTGAGGGAGGAAGGGTGTGGGGCTGAGTAATTAAATAGTGAAAGTAGATGGAGGGGATGATAAGCGGGTGATGGGGGTGGTGCAGGGCTGATAGCAGCCTGAGATTGGGGAAAGAGATGGGGGGAATGTGGGAGGCTGGGCAAAGCCGGGGCTAGGCATAGGGGTTGGTGAGAGCAGTGGAATTGTGATGGGGCCGAGGGCTGAGGGAGGAAGGGTGTGGGGCTGAGTAATTAAATAGTGAAAGTAGATGGAGGGGATGATAAGCGGGTGATGGGGGTGGTGCAGGGCTGATAGCAGCCTGAGATTGGGGAAAGAGATGGGGGGAATGTGGGAGGCTGGTTAGGCAGTGGGAAGAGGTGGGAGAAATGTTGGACAACTGATCAATGAGTAATGGAAACTGGGTGGATGGGAATTAACAGGAAGATGTACAGTGGCAGGGTGGGGAAATATAGAAGAGGACACTGGTGTCAACTGTGGCAAGGGGCAAGGTCTTTAATATGTATGGTTTATCCTGCAAATTGTGCTTATATACAGCCAAGTGTCCTTGCCTACTCCCTGTCTGTATGTTACACCCACTTCTTACATCCTGGTCTGTAAATTCTTAAGGAGTAGAGGTGGTGCCTGATGTGATAGGACACCCACTCCCACTGGGTTCTGCAGGCGTTCCACTTGTACAAGTAACAAATGATGGCTAGAAAGGAGGCAGCACTATGAAGAGAAAAATGGGGAGGACACTACTTGGAAACAGCAGGGTTTTGGCATGGTTTCCCTGACTTGCCAAACATTTAACACACAACATTTAATAAAGAATCTGCTGGGCAGCCATGGGGGAGCGAATGCTTTACAGGCCAGTCTAATATTTTACAGCCAGAGCTAAAAGTTGTTTTGGTTTTGATTGAAAACTTCAACAAAATCAAAATGCTTGGTTTTTGTGTACATTTTCAGCTGAATTTTTTTTCAGTTTTCTGATGAAAAGTCAGAAAACTTACTTTCCCAATAAAATATTTTTTCGATGAAATATGTACTTTTCACTAAAATTGTTCTTGAGTCAAAGCCCAATTCTGACATTTCACTACTTCTAGTCAGCTTTTTGGAGGGGAGCATAGGACTCACTTTTCTCCAGTTTTGTTTTAGTATTCATGGAAATGAGGGATTGTGCTACTTTCCCTCTTGTCAATGTAGGTGAATCCTCACTTCCAGCACCCTGTTTAGTTCAAATCTAGTTCTTTCCTTAGCAGTCCTTCCAAATTGTGCGGTAGCTTTTTTGATTAGGCAAACCTCAATTTAAGGTTCATTCTTGTGATCTATTTCAGCCTAGGTTTTCCAGCATAAAAGCCTATATATTAATCCATTCTAAGCCTATTACTCTTGTATTCCTGACTATTCAGTATTCATGATCTATCTCTCAATAATGCAGTTCAAAAACATTCACATCTTATTTTGATGTGTTATGCTAATTAGAGATGTGAAAGTGTAACTGTACACAGTTAACTGATGAGCCTGGGCTCCAGGGTTGTAAGCAAGTAGTCGATTACTCACATTCTCCCTCCACCTTGCTGCCTCTGAGAGAAAGGAACTTTCGATCTTAAAATTCATCTTTGGTTTGTTTTAACTGCTATTTAGAAGAGAGATCTTCTCAAAGACTGAACACCTTTGCCCCTTCTATTAAGGCAGGAGATCTCACAGCACACATCTTCTGAGACTTCTAGTAAGTTTTCTTTAATTTCTTCCATGAGTTTTTTTTTCTTCTGATTATTTCTTTTAAAAAGCTCAGATAACTTTTACAGATTATTTAAAAAGAATAGCTGAAAAAGACAACTCATTTTTAAAAAAACCAAACCCGTTGGTCACTTGAACAAAAATATTATTTTTGTGTCTTTCAAACCCATAAAGTTATTTGAAAATAGTCATTGTGGTGTAACAAGTGAGAGAGAGAAACTCACATGTATGTGGGCAGGCAACCCCCGACTTGCGACATGATTGGTTCCCAGGGAAGCGTCACAAGTCGGATGTCGTAATTCGAAGCCTCATTGATGATAGGCACCGTGCACTGTCATAAATGCGGGTTTTTGGCCCCTTCCACACTTTAAAAAATAGTTGTAAGTGCGGGGGGTTCCTACTCAAGTGGTTGCAACTTGGAGGTTTCCTGTATATACACTGGGAGATTTACCCAGCATTGCTTGGGTCCTTAATTCATTTTTGTTTTTTTGGAAAATTAAATGGGGCTGGGGATGAGTATGCAAGCTTCAGCCCCCTCTGCCTTTCCTAAAGGGCACCTAGAGGGTGGAAGGCTTAGTCCTAGGGCTGTGCTGGATGCAGGATGGGTGGGTGATCTCAACCAGCTCTTTCACCTGCTTAGCGATTCTGTCTCATTTCTAGCTTTATGAGAGGCAGTCCCATTCCAGGCACATCCTGTTTTCCTGGCACAACCAAACCCTTACCTTGGTTTAAATTACGATAAGAGGAAGCTATATACTGAATTTGGTGGTCCTAGCTCTTACTGCTTAGAAGGAGTTTTTTAATGAACAGACAGACACACTGACACAGTTTCTCAAATATGTAGTAAATCAGTGGTTTTCAAACTATGGGTCGCAACCCAGTACTGTGTCGTGGAATGTCAGGCACTGAGTCTCATTGCTGCAGGGCAATCAGGTGACCGGTGAGGGGTGCTAAGCCTGGCTACCTGCCTGTCCTGGCACTGACCGCAGACTGCGCTGCGCCCCAGAAATGGCCAGCAGCAGGCCTAGCTCCTAGGTGGGGGATGGGGAGGAGACCGTACAAGGCTCCGCGCACTGCCCTTGCCCCATGCATTTGCTCTGCACTCCCATTGGATAGAAACCTGCTGCTGGCTGCTTCTGGGGTGCAGCATGGTCTGTGGTGCCAGGAGAGGCAGGAAGCTGCCTTAGCATCCCGGTTGCACCACAAACTGGAAACTGCTCAAGGTAAGCCCCTCCTGCCCCAACTCTGACACCCCCAAAGCTGGTGCCTCTTCCTACACTTCAGAGCGCTCACCCTCAGCCTCACTCTGGAGCCCACACTCTAGTCCAGTGATCACCAACCAGTAGCTCGGGATCTACTGGTAGATCTTGGAGCCTCTGACAGGTGATTCTGACTGGTCTGGCTAGGAGGTTATCAAATGCCAGTGCTTCAGCTGCCCCTTCCCCCACTGCTGCTCATCTCCTGCCCTTTACTTTGGAGCTGCCCCTCCCCTGGGGAGCCCCCTGCTTGCTGTGGAGGGGAGGGAGAAGAGGGCACTGATGTCAAGGTGCACCCTTCCACTCTGTATCCTTTCTCCACAGAGCAGAGGGGGGGCACAACAGGGCTTAGGATGGAGTTTGCTGGCTGCTTTTGGGAGTGGTGCAGATCTGGGACAGGGGTGAGTCTGCCTTAGTTCCACTACACCACCACCCACGAGCCACCTGTGGTAAGCAGGACCCAACTGGAGCCAGCTCCAAACCCCTGCCCCAGTCATGAAGCCCCTCCTGCACCCCAAGCTCCTGCACTAGCCCTGAGCCCCCTGGAACCAAACTCCCTTACAGAGCCTGTGCCCTGAACCCGCTCCTACACCACAACCCCTTCCCCAGGTTCAGCTCAGAGCCCCTCTCACACTCCAAATCCCTTACAAGGATTAGGCCAGAGCCTGTACCCCAGCCCGCTGCGTCTGCCTGGTGAAAGTGAGTGAGACTGGAGGATGAAGTGAAGAGGGGCAGGACCTCAGAGAAGGGACAGGAAGGAGGTGGGTCGAGGGTGTTTGGGTTTGAGGAAGATCCTGGATTGCACTTAAATTCAAAAAGTGAAGGTTGTCTTAAAAAGTTTGGAGACCTCTGCTCTAGTCAAATTGTTAGGTCGTGGGCATCAACAATTTTCTTCCACTGGGTCATGAGGGAAAAAAGTGTGAAAACTGTTGCAGTAAATAATACGAACAAGCTACCTCTAAAGAACAAACAATTCATGTCCATTATTACTTTTTGGGGCACCCTCCTGAAGTTTATTTAATGCTTGCAAAGTGCTTTGAGATCTCTAATGGAAGACTTCATAGAATGCAGAGTTTAGGAATTTTTGCAATAGGGAAGTAAGAATTTGATGAACCAATAGTGGTGGCAGTGGACTTAAACATGGCCCAAAACACCTGACAGAGTGCACCTAGCTGCAGTCCAAAGTATGCCTTAAAGTTTCACAGCTGGTTGTAAGAGACACTAAAATATCATTGGGACAAGAATATCCTTCTTCTTTCCCTCTCTGTTTTCTATTCCAATAGGGCCCTGGATACTTCTGCTAGCCTCTGCTCCTTTTACTCAGCTCCTCCTTATCTGTTGTCTCCTTTTTTCACATGAATATGCAAAGTTTTTGTCGCACTCTGATTTGGCCCTTTTATTTTTCTGGACAATTTCAGATGGTTGCAGGCCCATGCAAAATGGCTGTTAGAGCATGAGAGGTTCTCTTTCAGTACAGGGCCTAATAATGCTGTCTGTGGTACACATGCCTCCCTTGTAATGAAACAGTTGAAGACCAGCGTACTCAGCACTTTGCAACAGACGTGAATTATCCCCACATTACAGTAGGCACGTGGAAGTGAAGTGAAGTTACATAACACATCAGTGACAATGCTGGAATTAGGATTTGTGAGTTCTTAGTCACTAGATTGCAACAATTTTTTTAAAACAATGAAAGTCTTCTAAGAACAATCCTACACAAGATGGTGTTCGTTCACTTTCCTATTGGTAAAACACCATATAACGCTATTTACTAGTAGTCATGGGTAATGTGGTCTCCTGAAATTTATGGAAAAGCAAAATGATTGTCCCTTGCTTTTTACCTCTGTGTACACTACATCTTCATGTGCGCACGCGTGTTTTGTGCAACAAATAATCGATGAGGTGCAGTGAGTTCTAAGCCATGTTTGCATATTATAAAACTAGATTGTGAAAGGTATGTGTGTTCTAGAATATCTATGCAGAGGACAAGCTAAGCATAATGCTTTCATTGCAAGAACAGTACAGGTGTGGATTTAAGGAGACTATAGACAGACATCTCTGTGTTTAAATATTCCATTCATTTAATTAATCAGAGCAAGTGTTCAATATGGGGAAATCCTGAATAAAAGTTCGAATGGGTTAGAAAATTAATGTTTTGTAAGGATTAAAAAGATTCTTTTTTACAAAATGAGTTTGCTGTCATTTTGGGGTCTTCAAACTATTTGAAGGCTTCAATATCTGAGATATAGGTGAGAGGATTATTCTAGGAGGGGGTGGGTGAGATTCTGTGGCCTGTACGGTGCAGGGGGTCAGACTAGATGATCATAATGGTCCCTTCTGACCTTAAAGTCTATGAGTCCTAGAAATAGCAAAGTATTAGTCTGGAGCAGGGGGAAGAAAGCTGCTTTATGCTATCAGAGATTCCCTTAGGGCCAATGGTATTGGAGACACTTTCAGACCTCTGCTCAGAAAACCAAGCTGTACACAGTGTATAAACATTCCCGTCTACCCCTTCCCTTCTCATGTCAAGTTATTAGCACTGTATATTAAATGTGCATTTGTCCTCAGATAAGCGTTTGAAACGGATTGTATAGATTCAAATTCCATTCCTGTCATACTTTTCTAATAGCTTTTACCACTGTATGGCATATTCATGGGCTCTGGACTCACTCTTGGCTTGAAGTAGTTTCCATCACCTGTAGGGTTTACAGCTTAGTTCAGTGGCTCTCAGCACCTCCATTGTTCCAGCATCCCTGGGCATCCTCAGTTCCCTCTTCTGACAGAAGGTACCAAAGCCAACCTGCTGTTATGAAAATATTCAATTTAGGCTCACTAGCCTGTGAACCAGGTTTAAATCTGCTCTGGAGGAGAAAAACTAAAAGTCTTCAAAGAGGAGTGATGGAGGGTTGTGTCAAGATTTAATGATGCTGACAGTTGGAATTCTATGGCTTAATTGGATTTTGCTTAAAGAGCAAGTGTCCTTCCAGAGATCCAGTGCAGGCTGACAAAGTGAATGCTTTCCGCTGTGAAGCAGGGGGGTTTGCCAGACACAACAATAATTTAAAAAAAGAAAAAAAAGTTAATTTTTTTTGTGTTCTTAATTATTCTTGGTATTCCTACCCCTAGCAGGTATATGAAACCTGTGACTGCTCTAAGTATTCGTGTGGTAAGACACAATACAATATTTTTTGGATTGTTAGGTTAATTAGGTGGCACTTCTGGTAGATGGTATTTACCTGATCTTTAATTCAGTATTTAGGCCTATGCCTTACAAAGGCAGGGTGCATAATATTTTGGATAAACATGGTTTGATGCCTCTGCTGATTGTAGTCACCCTGGTATCTTGGCAATAGTTTCTTTTTTAGAATGATTATAAATTGCAAATGGAAAGATTTATCCTAGTGAAATGGTATTGTGTGCAGAATCGCAAAGACTTTCTGTGTGCTTGATCAACAAGATTAAAATAGCTTGGTAAGGGACTACTTTACTCAAAAGCCAATTAGCCAGATGCTGCCGTACAACACGAACTATGTTAAGTTCAAGAGACAAAAAACACTAGTTTGAAATATCAGCATGAAAATGGTAAAAATCCTTTTTAAGCAGCAGATTTGTTCTTTAGGCTTCGGGATAGCAGCAGCAGAAGCAATTTTTGTAGCTTATTTAATAGATAACCCAGGCAAAGCTTTCACTGGGTAGATAACTTATTCTCCTGGCAAACATTAGATAGCTAGTGAGCTTAAATATTGACTAATTGTCAATTCTAGGCTATTATCTTAATATTCTTAAAACAGACTATGGATAAATATATATTTTTAAGTTGGTACTTCCTAGGAATGTTAAATTTAGATTAATCGACTAATCGAATAATCGGTGCAATTTGCATCGGCTATTCAATTAGTTGATAAGGTCTCCTCAGCCTTTAAGTGTAGCAACAGCCCCCGGGCTGTTGCTACATTTCAAAGGTGAAAGCACTGCAGGGAGTAGGGGTCAGTGGGGGACTCAAGCAGTCCCCCGCTGACCCCGGGCTCCATGCAGTGCTGCGGCTTTGAAACGCTGCAGAGGCCCCATGTCAGGCTCCATGCAGCATTTCAAAGCGGCAGACCCTGGACTCCACGCCTCTTTTCTGATAGAGGCAGCAAGCGGGGGGGAAAGCGACTAGTCGACTAGCGTGTTGACTATCCGATATATATTTGCTTATCGGATAGTCGATTAGTTGACTAGTCGTTCACATACCTAGTACTTCCTACAATAAAAGCACAATGATTGAAAATATTTTCTTGCTCATTTTGTTACTCCATTTGGAAAACATTGTGAACTTTGTTTTTAAGTTCTAAATTTCAATCTGCTTTAGAAACACTAATTTTTTCCTTTTTACATCTTATTTTATGTAATCCACTAAGTGACTGCACAGCTCTGGGAGTAGCTTAATTGCTGCACTGCCAGAAAAAGAAGCACAAATTATTGTTTTTTCTTTGTAGATTCCACATAATCTGTGGGTTTAAATGTAATTGTGGAGTTGTTTAAAATCCAACAAATCAAATATTTGTTTTCAAGTTGTTTCTTACTGTTTTTAAAAGGTTAATATTTGTTTTTGTGTCCATTTTATTGACGTATACCATACAATATGCGAGACATTAGTGATATCTTTTCTGACCAAATAACCTATCTTTTGCAATTTTTTAAAAACTTACAATACCCTTCCGTTATTTTAAAGAGATGCTTCCTCTAAAATAAGTGATTTATCTAAGCTTTTCATCTAACAACCATGTTGCAGTTTCTCTGCTGGTCAGTTATTTACAAAGCATCTGGTTGTGAACATTGCACAGCTTCGTGGAACTGGGTGTTAACATAAGATGAAGTTGTGTCTGTTTTTCCAAGCTATGTTTCCACCCTGGCCATTTCAGATGATAATATCCTATTGATTCCATCCTTAAGCATTACACGGCAGGCCTTTATATTCTCATCAGATTTGTCAGGGCCTATATTACTTAAGTAATGGATCAAAGGATCATTTCTGTTCTTTACCAAGCCTGACAATAACTTAGAATTGCTGGTAAATGCCTTTGTTTTTACCAATACTAAATTGCTGCAGTTATTTTAATGTACTCTTTGAAATGAAGATATTGTATAACTTACCTTAGGGTTGAAGAGGTTTAACTTTTGCAAAAGGGCTTTGAGATTCTCAGATAAAAAGTATTAATGAAGGGCAATACATCAGACTAGTTAAACGTATTGCGGCTATGTTTTGTCTGGATGAGGCGCATCTCTAGCTTATTTACTATCCAAGAATTTGCATTCACAGAAAATCCGTAGTCAAAAGTACTGCTTTTATTGAGGTTAAGGCAATCCCATAAAACAAAGGAATTCAGTTAAAGGGACAGTCAGATGCAGTGGCGGATGAGCTGTTGGGCTCGTGCCCTGGACCCCCAGAAAAATGGGAACCCCATCACCCTGACCCGCACCTGCTGGGGAGCCAAGTCAGGGTGCAGGGATTGTCCTGCTCCTCTCATCTGGTGCTTCTGCCAAGATGTTGGGTAGAAGTGCTGGGATTTGCTCCACTTTGCCTGCCTGCTCTGGTCTTTTTCAGGGGGTGGGAGAAACCCCTGCACCCCGACCCTGCTCTCTGGCAGTGCTAGCCGTGTGGGCTTAGGGCAGGCCTCTGCCTCCTGACACAGCTCCCTGCCAGGAGCACTGGGGGGAAGCAGAGGGCCCCACAAACCCCTAATTTGCCCTTGGTCCAGTGTTGCAGATAAAATGTTGTCTGTATTTAAAATTGCCTATATACTTTCACACAGTGCTCTGAATCACAGAAGTTGTTTTGTTTTCCAAAAAGTAAATGTTGCATCAGACCTTACATTATACTTACGCTTCTGAAAGATTGTAAGAAAAGTAGACTTCTCACTCCCATTTCTGTGATCACAGGTGTGTGCACATGCCGCATTCCTTCTCCTGAACAAGCATTATCTTGAAGTCCACAGGAATTAGGTTCTAGCATTTCTAACAGCAGGATTCCTGTATCATTTACAGGGTACTGGCAGGAAGCAGGCAGAAGGGTGGGGAAATGAAACTTATTCATATGCCTATCATCCAGAGCACATCTGTTTTGAGCATTGAGGGTGTTTCTGCAAGCTGTGATTTTTCTGAAGGTCCTGGCAATAGGAAAAAGTTGAGCTGATTTTCTAGTTCTAGCTAGATATTGGAGACTTAGTCCTTCACTAAATTTCCTGGCTTCTGCGGTCTCTCATTTTATTTTCTGAATTTCATTTGACACACCACAAGTTTAATGGGTGGCATGCGCCTCAAGGCACTAAAACCTAACCGGTTGTGTTATTTAATTCCAAGAGCCGAAGGCAGCAAGACAGGAGTTTATGTTCCTACCTTTCCTCCAAGAGTTTTCCGATAGGTAAAAAGGCTCTCTTAGGCATGCAGCTTTCAAAACACACTGAGCCTTTCTGTATTCTTGTCTCTCAGAGCTTTTGTTCTCATGGTTGTAAAATTATATTTGGGTTCTGGGACTAGAAAAGAAACATATTTTGGCCACTTATTTAGTTTAGCTTGGAAAGTTTTAATGTACAGCAAATACGCCATTTGTAAATCAAATGCATCTGCTAATGTGCAGTTGGCCAATGTTACTAGTTTCTTGTATCCTGTTAGTGTTGCTGCATTCCCTAGATGTGTAAACCATATCCTGGGAATGCCTTTAGAATATGGGCCTAAGCAGGGGTTTATTGTTGCCTCTTAATTATGCCTCAAGTAAAGTGGATACAGTTTTTTTTCTTTTTAAACAATGTACTAGGAACTGTAACTTCATGCTCAAGAATGTACTGATTCTAGGAATGTAGATGGTTTTTTCAGACACTTCTCATGCCTTTGGTTTTCGTTTTTTAGAAACACAATTTAAATCGCCACTTTTTGAGGTTTTTACATTTCCTTCTCAATGTGGCTCTAAGATTTTAGTAGGCCAGATTGTTCAGTGCAGCTGTGCCAATTTACAATGGCAAAGAATTCCTTATTAGTCTTTTTTGTTTGTTTTGTACCTTGTTGTTTTGTTTCACCTGTCATGTTTGACGGTGGTGACTGCTATCAACGCTCCTGCACTAATTAATGGAACAGAGAACAATTACATACATGACTTCTTCAGTTCCTCACCTTAAGAAAATGCAATGCAAAGAGAGAACTGTTCCTCCTTTAGTCAGTTTCTGTCATAGTCTTTGCTGGAATAAACCAGCAGAAAGGTATGGGTGTGGTAAGAGACAAAACAAAGCAAGGTAATTTTCTCTGCTCAAACTGAACATGCTATAGTATTAAGAATGAAACTTCTGCTACATTTTATTGTCTGATAAATATATTTGGCCTCTTAGCCCCTTGCATAATGATCCCTGCATACAGAAATTTAATTCTCATGTTAGTGTCTGTTTAGACAGCTGTTTTTATAACGGGTCATAAATTGGCTGCGGTGCTTTTGTGCATCAGTAAAATGGTCTTGTAAAGGCTACACTGAGTGAATTCCAGAACTGCAAGATGCTGACATGCAGTCTTTAGGCGTCTTGCTGCTTTATGTTTACACTTTTTTTTCTGAGAGCTTTTTAATGCCCTTTAAGCAATAAAGTAAATTTTGTTTTTAAAATGCATTGCCCAGAAGAGCCCAGGAACCTGTGAGTTCTTGGGCAGACATGGCTAATACAGCAGTTTTCTAACTTATTTCCTTTCTTGGTTTTTACTTTCAGAATCTGTGAAAAGGACAATGTGAGCTGCTGCCTTCAGGCGTCCTGATAAGTTGGTGTTGAGAGGAAGCAGTTAGTGCCTTGCTGTTCAGTCAGCAGAATTTCTGAGGATCCTAGCTCCTGTTTGCCATCCCAACCAAATATTTGCCATTTCCTGTTTGAAACGAGACGACTCGTGAATTGCAGCTGTCAGCCATATTTTTCAAGGGAGAGGACTACCTTTTCCTCGTATAACTGACCATAACAACAAATACGCAGGGATGTCTAAGAAACAAAATCAGAAAGGTAAGATTGTATGTCAATGAGGCATGCATGGGGCAGGCTGGATTGTGCTTCGGTTCATGTGGTTATTGGTCCTGAAGCAATCACTTTCGAAAAACTTTGACAGCTTTGGAGGATACATGTCCTCCCTGTCTCCTTGCAAATCTGATAACCTAACTTGTCAGCTTGTTCACTACTTTCATGGACTCCATATATTTTATGCTTTTGTCTTGCTTCCATTAAAACTTCAGTTGTTAATCCAGATAGCATATGATTCCAGGCAATTCCAGGGCAGTGTGATTGTTGCTTGGTTTTTGGAAATAAGATCAGAGAGTTGGCTTAATAGTTATGATCTTCTAGAGCCAAAATAATCTCTTGTGCGGACACCCAAGAGCATTAATGCAAAACACTGTTTTGCTGTTGCATGTGTGTGATTGAATAGCTGTCAGTAGTACACATTGGACTTGATGAAGTTATGAGTGTTCTCTGATTCTTTAGCATTTTGTATGATTATTCTTTCACTCTGAAAGTGATTACCAAGGTTGCTTCCTTTCAAAAGGTGTGTGGTGCCTTTGTCTTGTGCTCTGTGTGCAGTTAAAATACTTGTGAAAACTGACTCCATATGCATAAAAACATCTCAAAGTTAAAGGGGTGCTGTCAAGTTGGAATCTAGTACTTAAATATTAAAATTCATCTCAGGTAAACCACCTTCCTTCAAGTTGTCCTGCCAGTTTTTGTCTTTAAAATTGCTGCCCTCTTTTTGAAATGTTTCTCTTTTCTTGCTCTGTGAAAGACAGCAGAGAAATGGTGGGAATGACTAGCTACAGCATGCTGTCAAATGTGCAAAGTAAACAAGCTGAAATCCTAGAGAAACGTAACTTTCTCTCTAATATTTCAGTCATAACTATCTTAGGCTCTGATCCTGCAGCGAGATGCACACAGGCTAATCTCGTAGGGTCCGTCTGCATGCATAACATTGCAGGAACAGGATCTTCTGTATACAAGTAAAGATGTTTTGACAGAGGTTTGATTTATTTATTTTTAAGTTGAATGACCCTTCCAATATTTCTCTTTTCCAGCTTCTTTCATAAATGGTTAGACCAAATTCTAGTCTCAAGTTTTTGTCCATGTTAAAGGTTCTGGGTTGGTGACACAAGACCACAGTTTATTCTCTCCAAAGGAGTAGCAATGACCGTTCAAGTTTTCTCGTACTGCCATTGTAAAACCCTTTCCCCTTTGCCCTAGGGATCACTTCTAGCAGTGGTAAAGTAGGTTGGTCTCCATACCAAAATCCAGGGGCTAGGCTAGATGTCCTAAGAATGTATAGGTGATTTTTTTTTTTTTCCTGAACCTACTAATTAGAATTCCACGTGGATTCAGTCATTGTGGTTTGTAGCTGTGGGCAGTTTGAAACCACCTAATTGTTTTATAGGCATTGAACAGATGCCAGATGGTGCGTGAGACCACCTTTTGGTCACTCCTTCCCTGAACTAGATTCAAACCAGAAACCATTTAAATATGTGTTTGACATGGGATCCAAAAGTATAATAAACATTTGGACATTTTTACAGTCCACTATTCCTGAAAGACTTTCTACCTGGCTGTGGCTCCCAAAGTTCATGATTTGCTCTCAGATTCTGGCTTACATACCAAGCTTAATCCTACTGCATTTTCCCATCCTGACTGGACTCCTCTTGTTGCCAGCTGCTAGAGTGCAATCACAGATGCGGACCACCCTATGAAAAAAGTTTGACAACTTCTGTACTCGGCCTAAACGTTAATTCTAAATTACACGATTTTTCCAGGGTGTATTAAATGCTAATACCGCCTTAATTAGGATCCCGTTAGTAGCTGCTGCTGTAATGTCTGGAAAGAGGTACCACAACGGAATAGTGAGTAACAGCTCATTTAAAATGATTAGCCCATTGCCATTCTGTGACAGGATTTGTTTGTATCACAGAGATCAGAGGTCACTAAAAAAATAGTAACCACTCGCGGGAAAGTCAACCCTTTACAAAGATATTGAAATGAGTTGGTGAGGTGCTGGTGGTCTGGATGGTTGTTTTTGTTTTTTACCTTGTAATGGATTTTTACACCATTTCAACAGTGAATGAAAAAATAAACTGCTGCTGTTCTTCTTTTGACTTGGTCACTAGCCTAGGTTGCCCCTCTCTGCCCTGGTGTGTTGGACACAACAATCCCATGACACACCGTCTTGCACTTTGCTATGTCTAGAGTAGCTGTGAACCGAGAGAAAGAGCTTTACAGTATTATGCATATGCCCTTTTTGACCTGCCAGTCATATCTGCCCCTCCAAGTGATGCAAAAATAGGGTTTTGTAGCCTATGTTTGATGTGGCTGTTGCACTCTGTAATAGCCGCAAAATGTACGCAAGCGTGTTTCGTTCACAAACCACGGAAATATGCAAATAGCCATTTGGTTCAGCTTCACACCCAGCTGTCCACACTTGATAGTCTCACATCCTGTGTTCCAAAGGATAGGGTACTTCTAGCACCTGACGTTGCCGTGGGCACTTCCAGAGCGGAAAAGTTTTCAGTCTATACATGTACCTGTTGTTCTAAACTATTCTATGTTGTTAGATCCTTTTCTTTTAAATTAGCACCTCTTTTTTTAGACTCCTCTATTGTAACTGCTTTTAAGTAGCTTTATTCCAGATATTAACGATTCCTGGTGGAAATAAACTTCCTCCTTTTATTTCTTTTCTCTCTCGTCTTTGCTTTCCTTGGTGTTCTACCTCTGTATTGTAACAAGTACACTGCTGAGGCCATCTTTTAATGTACAGGACCTGCAGTAACAGTTAATTGTTGAGACTGTTGGTGGATGCACTGAGAGTCGTTTTACAATTAAGTGTGTGACAAGTTTTTGTATGTAAGCCTTGTGGATACTCTTCAGCCTTTTTTTAACAGCAGTCCTTGTGATTTGAATCTTAGTCGGTTTTCTGAACAGTTAAGGAAATTGGTCAAGGAATTTTGCGTGGACAGCGACTCTTTCTCAAACCTTTTGCAAACTGCTGTTTCAGAAAGAGAATGGTTATAACTCAAATGGCTCGAACAGTAGCACTTCCAAATATTGTTATGTAAACAGTTACAAACTTTGGGTAAAGACTTTCCAAAATGCCTGCTGCCCATCTTTAAAAGTGATTTAGACACTGAAGAATCGCCACTGACTCTGTGCGATTTAGGCTCAAGTGCCCTAGTCACTTAAAAATTAAATATAGGCTCCTGAAGGCTCTTGACAAATTTACCTCTTATCTTTGAAACATCCTGTCTGTCAATTTTCTGAGTATTTATTTTGAACCGATTCATCTGCTGCCATAGTCATTTAATCAATGAACATTTTAATGTGAATGGATTTCACAGTGGAAGCTTTCTAACTGAAGAAAGGAATTCTTGTTCTCAGAGGATTTTCCTGGGAGTTTTTACATTGGGGTGGGCAAAATGTGGCCCGTGGCCTGGATGCGGCATGCCAAAGCTTCAGATCTGGCCCACCATGATCCTCTGAGCCACCAATGTTCCATATCCCAGCGGGACTGGCTCTGTGCCTGCCATGTCTCACATGCTGCTCCCGCCCCCAGCCAATCGTCACAGCTTCTATTGGTGGCAGAGACACACAGGCTGGTCCCAGCAGCCAGCTGCTTTTGAGAGATGTGTGGGGTGCAGCAGGCAGGGAGCCTGCCTCAGGAGCTGACATGGGTAAGTGCCTCCCAGCCAAAGCCTGCCCCTGGCACCCCACACTCTCCCCGCACCCCAACTCCCTGCCCCAGGTCACACTTCAAACCTTCTGAACCCCCTCTGTATCCCTGTCCCAAGTCAAAATCTTCTTGTGCATCCAATCCCCCATAGACCCTACACCTCAATCCCCTACCCCAGGTCACAACCCCCTCCATCACCCAAATTTTCTCCCAGACTGCACACCTGCTCCTGCACCCCAGTCCACTTCCTGAGCTCCCTTCTGCAGCCAAGCTCCATCCCAAACTCCACGTCCCTTCCAGAGAAAAGTGTGGCCCATGACCACTTACCAAATTCTTCATGTTTCCCTTCCCCCCTCTCCCCTCCCCCCCCCCCCTCAAAAATTATTCCCCCCTCCTCCTGTTCTACATTGAAATGGTCTTCTGTCAGAAGGATCTGATCTGTACGTCAGGATTTAGCTATGCAAGGATTTTGAGAGAGGTTTGTAATACTGCATAAGTTAATCCTGGATAATTTTTAAAATGCTGTTGCAAAATGATAGACATTCAGGGGCTGAAATACTGAGTCATGAATGATTTGACTGCTAAATTTCACTGCCAGCAACAACATGGTACAATTAAATTGATGAACAAACTTGGAGAAAAAAATGCATCTGGAGATAGCAGTGGGGAATTAACCTAGCTAGATGGGGGGAGCTTGCCTGGGGAAACCTATAAGGGAGCATTAAGGGTAAGGAAAGTAGTTATCTGTGAGAAACTTTAATTGTGGGAGCCTGCAGGTCCCTTGCTGAATGGGGGAAGCATGCTTCAGTTGCCTGTTTGAGGTGCCCCAGCTGGGTTTGCAGCAGGAGGCCATATGGGAGCCTACAGAGGAGTATTTGAGGTTTACTAAGTGCTACAGAGGAGTAAAGGATCCATGAACATAAATGTGGACAGCAAACAAGGACACGGGGTCAGTAGAGGTTTGCACCAGGATTGACTTCTCAGTCATATTTTTAATTGGTTTGTTTTATAGCCTTAACTTAGTCAACAGATATTTTAACTGCTTTATTTAAAAAAAAAAGTGTAGTTAAAGACTATTTTTATTCTTGGATATTTTTATGTTTCTTTTCACTGAAAAAAGCCACCTGTGCTTTGTAACAGCCTGAGTGAGAACTATTGAAAGATTTGTCAGAGGAGCTGTAACTATTTTTAATAAGGCAGCAGTTTTGAAACCAAATCATGGGTCCATCTGTTTCTCTTCATTGAAGCACCAGAGACTAGAATTTTTCTCTGAACTGTCGAGAAGGATATTTTTGAAGTCTTTTGAAAGTCT